TCCATAGGCGTACGAGCCAGAGGGGCAGGGGGGGGCAGCTGCCCCCTAACTTTCGGGCAAGCTGATTTTTAGGGCAGATGGGTAAAGTGAAAAACAAAGTGCCCGAAATCTAATAAAACACTAATTTTACGGGCTGGAATAGCAGGAAGCGCGTTTGTGGCTGTCAAATATTCCAAAATTTTCTTGGGGGGTCCATACAAGGTCAGTTCCGCTTCTTCGCCTCTCGAAGAGTTGACTATGGATTAAAAAATGTTGCCTGGAGCGACTCTACTTTGTGCGACATTTTTCGGGCATCGATTATTGTTTGTGAATGCAGCTGCAACAGTTTGATTGGATGGTTGGAATTCAGAGTGGGATTTCGGTTACAAATCCATTAGATACTTTTGGAGTTTACACGGGATAGAATAGCAGAAAACGCATTTGCGGTGGTTAAATTTTCAAAAAATTTTCTCCGGGAGGGTATACCCCCGAACCCAGCGATGATTGATTTGCTGTTTTGGAATTCCGGTCAGCCAGGTAGGCTATATTGGACCAAATTGAAGTTGCTGTATTCACAGGCTGGAATAGCAGGAAAACGCGTTTGCGGCAGTTAAATGTTCTCCCAACGGTCCCGTCTTCGTGGAATGTGAACGATTGATTGAAATTCGAGTCAGCCACCTTAATAAGGCTATATTAGACCACTTTGGAGTTACTTTATTCACGGGCTGAAATAGCAGGAAAACGGGTTTGCAGCCGTCAAATATTCCAAAATTTTCTTTTGAGGGGGGGGGGGAGGGGAGGGGGGGAGGGGCAAAGGTAAGCTCCGCTCTCTTCGCCTCTCAAGGAAGACCGTCGCTCTCTGTAAACCCAAATTTTTTTCGGGCATTTCTGGTTCTGCCCCCCTAACTGTCATCGAGCCCGTACGCCTATGTAAACCTCCCTGAAAATGGCCAATTCCATAATTCAATGGAATTGTCGTGGTCTTAAACCCAATTTTAATGAAGTTCAAATATTAATTAAAAAATTTAACCCCTTAGCTATTTGTTTGCAAGAAACATGTTTAAAGAATTCAGTTGTCTTAACACATCTTGTTGAATATCATCATTTTGCTAATAATGATGGTAGAGCACACGGTGGTGATTCCATTTTCCTGAATGGAAATGTTCCGCAGAGTAAAGTCACCATCAATTCGCCTTTGCAGGCAGTTGCAGTGAGGGTGACTCTACATATTCCTTCCGCACTCTGCTCTGTATATTTATCCCCTAGCTTACATCTGAACCCCAGAGATATTGATGACCTTGTTGTACAACTTCCCCTCCCGTTTATAATTACGGGAAATTTCAATGGGCATCATTCACTCTGGGGTATTCCAGATGATAATAACAGAGGTAAACAAATACGGACTTCATTAACATTAATAATTTGTGTTTGTTAAATGATGACTCGCCTACTTATCTACATCCTGTCACAGCTTCTTTTTCTTCCCTTGATCTAACCATTTGCTATTTGGTCCTGTTTCAGGATTTTACATGGAGAGTGAATGAAGATCTGTGTGGCAGTGACCACTTTCCTATCTTGATAGATAATAATGGACCCTCTCGGGTTGAAAGGCCGCAGAGGTAGAAGTTGCATAAGGCTGATTGGGCTCTTTTTGAATATTTGTGTCTCTTCTCTCTTGATGCAAAAGAGTTAGAAGATGCAGATGAGCCCATGGCCTTATTCACTTCAATTCTTCAAGATGTAGCTGAGCCCAAACGTTTCAATAAAACATGGTATAATAATGATTGCAAATCCGCTCTTAACGAGCGTGGTCGTATTTTAAGAGATGGAGAATGTTGCAGCATACAAAATGGTCCGGGCGAAGACCCGTAGAACCACACGCCAAGCAAAGAAGTATTCATGGCAAGGTTATGTCTCAAGGATAAATTCCCGTATCCCTTCCAAATCCCTGATATCGCTAAATCTCTGGCCAGTACTTTCTCATTCAATTCATCATCAAAATTCTCCCCTGATGCCTTTCAGGGCAGTAAACATCAGCAGTAATGATGAATGTTATAATGAAAAGTTTTCTATTGCTATACACCGTGATTCTCTTAAACAAGCTCGAGATACTGCAACTGGTCCAGATGAAATTCACTACCAGATTTTAAAACATTTACCTTTTTCTATACTTTTAACATTATTAGATCTTTATAACGGAATTTGGGTTGATGGGAATTTCCCTCCTTCGTGGCATGAAGCCACAATAATTCTCACCCCTAAACCGGGTAAAGATCCTACGAATCCTACCACTTATAGTCCAATCGTTTTAACTAGCTGCATTTGCAAAACCATGGAGAGATTGATCAATCGAAGGCTTCTTTGGTACCTTGACTCAAACAACCTCATTACAGATCTCCAAGGAGCACTCTTGATCATCTCGTTAGATTTGAAACATTTGTCAGGGATACTTTCATCCAGAAACAACATTTAGTTTCTATATTTTTCGATCTGGAGAAAGCTTATGATACCACATGGAAATGTGGTATCATGCGCGACCTGTATAATCTCGGTCTGCGGGGTCGCTTACCTATCTTCATTAAAAACTTCTTAGAAGATAGGTCGTTTAAGGTACATTTGGGATCAATTTTCTCTGACCCATTTCCCCAGGAAATTGGAGTTCCTCAGGGAAGTATATTATCTCCCACTCCTTTTCCATCAAAATAAATACCATAGCAACGTGCCTTAAACGTGGGGTCGACGGCTCTCTTTATGTTGAGGACTTTCAGATGTGTTACGGATCGACAAGTATGCAGACAATCGAACGTCAGTTGCACCTTGCTTGAATTCTAGTCAACGATGGGCAACTGACAATGGATTTCGATTTTCGAAATCCGAGACTGTGTGCATGCACTTATGTCAAACAAGAGGTTTACATCCTGATCCGGAACTTACACTGGATGGTTGTCCCATTCCAGTTGTAGATGAAACGAAATTCGTGTGTTTGATATTTGATACGATATTATCATTTATCCCTCATATTAAAACCTTGAAGAAGAAATGTCTGAAAGCCCTCAACATATTGAGAGTTTTATCAAACACTGACTGGGGAACAGACCGTAAGGTCTTGCTCAGATTATATCGAGCTTTATTAAGATCTAAACTCGATTATTGGTGTATTGTGTATGGGTCTGTCCGCGAGTCCTATCTCAAAGTGATCGACACCATACACAACCAAGAACTTAGAATCAGTTTAGGAGCACAGTTTACAAGTCGAGGCTTACGAGCCCTCTTTTGCACGACAGACGTGATAAACTAGCACTGCAGTATGCTACAAAAATTACATCTCTGCCTCATCATATTTCATATAACACCATATTTAGACCATATCAGGAACATCTGTATTTAATGAAAACTAATGTTACTCCATCATTCGGTATTCGCATCCAATCCCTTTTGTCAGAGGCTGGCATCAGTCATGACAGTATTGCGAATACCCCTTTGATTAGTACTCCACCCTGGACTATATCGCCTCCAAAGACCGATTTAGATCTAACGAAAAACAAAAAGAGCGATACTAGTTCTACGGTGTTTCAGGCTATCTTTCGAGAGCTGAGGTCTAAATATGGTGATTATACTCCCATTTACACAGATGGTCCCAAAGATGGTGATCGCGTAGCTTCGGCTACCATCACGCCATCTGGAATCATGTCTGCCAGACTTCCACCTGTTGCTTCCATATTTACTGCTGAGCTCCAGGCCATCTTTCAGGCAATGGAGTTTATTCAATCATCTTCTAATTTAAAACACGTCATATTTACTGATTCTCTGTCCTCTTTGCAAGCATAAACAATAAACAGCTTGTACACCCATTAGTAGCAGACATTTATCATCTGCTACTATCACACGAGATTGTTGGCAAGGACACAGTCTTTTGCTGACTCCCCAGTCATGTTGATATTAAAGGGAATGATCAAGCAGACTTAGCTGCCAAGTCTGCTTTAGATCTTCACATATTACAACTTCTTTTACCCTTTACAGATTTTAAATCTTGTATCAACCATTTTATATATGACCGCTGGCAACGGCCTTGGGGTCTTGCAGACACAGATAAACGTCATCACCCAAGCCTATCCTTGGAGTTTGGCCTAGTTCCTACAGGTCTAGCAGGAGAGATGAGACTGTTTTGTGTCGCTCTCGTATTGGTCATGCTTTTTTAACTCACATTTTCTTATTAAAGCGAGAGCCTCAACCAGAATGTGAACACTGCCATGTTCCTTTGACAGTGAAGCACATTTTGATTGAGTGCAAGCATCTCAAGGGTGTTAGATCGCATTTTTACCGTTGTCAGTCATTACATCACATGTTTGACCAACCGGGTTTATATCATAAATTGTTAGACTTTTTAACAGAGACAGGTTTTTTATTTTAAATTTTAATTGTATATATATTTTCAGGTATCTATTTTAATATTTGTATGCTTAAAAGTTCATGATATTTATTTTTAAACTTAAGAACTGTGATATTTAAGCATATAAATAAATAGTATTGTGATATCTTATAGCCTGTCTCGTATATTTCACCATATGTTTGGAGCAATGTAGCTGACGTGCCATAAAACAACATTTCATTTCATTTCCAGACGTCCGGGTGGACAGGGTCAACGACATAATACGTCCACATCGCATAACCGCACACCGACCCGTTCAGCCTCAAGGAAGAAGAAACTAAGAGCATGGACTATAAAAGTCGAAATTCAAGGACCGCGCTGTAAATGTAATTGCAGACTTTTGCTGTCAAACTTTAGTTTTCGCAGACAAAAGTTTGGCAACGACATTGAACGTATGCCCTTGTAAATTGTGTACAGTGTATTTAAATGATAGAACCAATTGAAATTTAGATCAATCGCAAGTTAAAAAAATTGTTTTTCAAAGTTTAAAAAGTTTTACTAAATCTTAAACGAACAGAAACATTTAACCACGTTCAGTTTGTCGACTGTAAGACAACTCGCCTGAAATTTGATGATAAAAAGATAAACATACTTGTGTTTTCAGCAAGATATAATTTTTTGAGACCCACACTAGCACAATTTGCTATACATCCAGGACAAGCCCCGGTTAATAACTGGTCGTTATTCGAGTAGACAATATTTCCATCTGATATAGGCTGAAAAAAATGAAATCCAATTTTAAATGGAGCACAGTGTAATACTATACTATTCAAAAAAAGTAGGGGATATTTGATTTTGGGGGCATAATACTAAAATATGCAAATGACTACGAAAAAAGTCACTATAGAACCTAACAGAAGAAACATTTCCAGTTACATGTGACGCCCAAACGCACCAATAGCTACCGCATGGAATGCAGGTGATGCTTGGGATCATCATGGGGGTCCAACCCAAGATTTGCACGACTCTGACTTTGAATGTTACAGTCATTGTGGCATTGAATTCCAGGGTGGAAACATCAGTTTAATTGTTTTAGTGACCAGAAAACAAATTTTGATATGCGTCGGCTTACCCAAAATGAAAGGTTACGTGCCCTTGGCATGCTACAGATCGGCACAACACAGGCGGTTGTGGCGCGGACGATGAATGTTTCTCAGTCTGTCATAAGCAGGCTATGGTCCAGATACCGTGATACACAATCTGTACAGGACAGACCACGCTCAGGTCGACCAAGGGCGACAACTCAAGCCCAGGATCGCTTTATCCGTATCTTGGCCTTGAGAAATCGTGTCATCACAGCAAATCAGATCAGCGCTCGTCTTCAAACAGACACTGGTGTGAGAGTGAGTGGCCAGACGATTCGGAATCGACTGCATAGGGGTCACCTTCGCGCCCGACGTCCTCGCGTGATCCCTTGTTTGAGAGATCATCACATTCAGGCAAGACGTCGTTGGTGTAGGGATCGTCAACACTGGGATAATCGACGCTGGAGCAATGTGATGTTTTCAGATGAGTCAAGGTTCACTGTTGATTTTTTGGACAGACGTAGGAGGGTGTGGCGTCGTCGAAACGAGCGCTTCCAAGACGTTAACGTCATCAGACATGATCGATTTGGGGGTGGTTCTGTTATGGTGTGGGGAGGCATCACTGTTGCTGGAAGAACGGCTTTACATGTTGTTGCAGGGCGTGTTACAGGCCAGTACTACCGGGACAACATCTTGGCAGTCCATGTTGTGCCGTTCGCACGACGTCATGGCCGCCGTTTATCTTCCAGGATGACAACGCAAGATGTCACAGGGCCAGGATCGTTACAGGTTACCTCCAACAACAGAACATCACCACATTACCTTGGCCAGCACTGAGTCCCGACCTCTCCCCCATCGAGCATGTCTGGGAAATGCTTGGACAGAGGTTACGTCAACGTCAACAACGTCCTGCCAATGTCCAAGAACTTGCTGCTGCGTTGCAACAGGAATGGGACAATCTGGACCAAAATGACCTTAGACGTCTCATTAGGAGTATGCCACGTCGGATCAATGCTTGTTTGGCAAACAGAGGAGGATTTACCCGTTACTGACTTGGTTGTGATGCTGTGGTAACTTTGCTGTTTGACCCCGGGTATCATTTTACCCTTATAATGGTCAGTCTGTGCCTTACTTAGTCTAACGATCATTTGGAATAAATCGATGAATGTGAACTTAATTTCATTTTGTCATTTGTTTCTTCGTCAGTTTCAATAGGTGACTTTAATAACACTTAAAAATCAAATATCCCCTACTTTTTTTGAATAGTATATTAAGAATTATTTTAGTTGTAAGAAAGGTGTTAATATAGAAATTCGTTACCTACATGATGTGTGACGAAAAGTAGCAGTGGCGGCGCTAAGGGGAGGAAAGGGGGGGGGGCATTTGCCCTCCCATAAATCTAGTCTGCTCTCTGTTTGCCCGCCCCCTCCCCCCCCCCCCCCCAGTAATTTTAGAAAATAAAAAAAAAAGTATTTGTGATACGTTTCCGTAGTCAATACCGTCTACGGTGATTAAATCCCACATTCCCACTCAGTCATAGACATAAATGTTGTAGAGTTGAGTGATTTCTTACCAAGTCCATCCTGCTGTAAACCTACTATAAACAATAACACGTGAACCACTTGAGAAGTGCTTTTTACGATCCTCAAAGTTTTTGGGTATAGGTTCAACGCGGCGAGAATATACATCCACTTGATACACTCACTTCGTTCGTTTGACACCTTCCTCTCTGTTCGATTAAGCTGGTGATTTGGCGACGAACAGTATCTGGTCAGCTCTATTTATCTCGACGACGACCAGTGTCTGAAATACTGCCAGGCTGCATTTCCGGCAATCTATTTCTCAAAATATCGTGGCGAAAATATTCATTCACTTTGATTCACTCACTTCGTTCGTTTGACACGTTCCTCTCTGGTCGGATAAACTAGTGATTTGGCGACAGACGGTATCTGGTAAGCTCTATTTATCTCGACGATCAGTGCCTGAAATACTGTCAAACTGCATTTCCCACAGTCTACTTTTCAAATTTTCGGGGGCTTCGTTGAGGTTCGCAATTCCGTTCATTTGACACTTTCCTCTCTGGGGTCGGATAAACTAGTGATCAGGCGACAGACGGTATCAGATCAGCTCTATTTTTCTCGACAATCGGTGTCTGACTACTGTCAGACAGAATTTCCGGCAGTCTATTTTTCAAAATTTTCGTGGGGAGGACCCCAATACCCTCGTAAGGACTCATGAGGTGACTTCGTTGAGGTTTGCAAGTTCGTTCGTTTGACACTTTGTTCTCTGGTCGGATAAACTAGTGATCAGGCGACGGGCGGTATCTGGTCAGCTCGAATTTATCTCGACGATCGGTGCCTGTCTGAATACTGTCAGACAGCATTTCCGGCAATCTATATTTCTAAATTTTCTTGGTGACGTCCCCCGTACCCTCCGTAAGGACTCCCTACTTTGGCGCTCGTGAGTGGGCTTCGCCAAGGTTCGTTTGACACTTTATCTTAACGATCAGTGCTTGAAATACTGCCAGGCTGCACTTCCGGCAGACTGTTTTTCAAACATTTCTGGGGGAGTCCTCCTATCCGTAATTGAAGCTCATGCCTTTGCCCCCTTAACCTTGGACTTTGCCCCAGCTTTGCCCCTCCAACCACCAAGTTATTCTAAAGCAAAGAAATTGCTGCACATTCAATAAACATGAAAATATAAATGACTGTCTTAGAGACACTATGTAGTGTATTTATAAAGACTTCCAGAATAACATATAGCACCAAAATACAACAATAAAAATAATTTGAAACTTGTTTATTGAATATGGTATCCACGGTGAACTAAAACTGGAACAAGAGTAAGGATTTGGGAACGAAGAGGCGAGCTTATCGGAGCCTGGTATATGCAAACAAACGATATCTGTCAAAGCAATGCAAAATTTTCTCACCCAGAAAATTCATTAAACATGTTGTTATAAAGGTTTTGTGTTCACAAGCTGTAATACTAAAACTTATATGGAGATATCACTCGGCAATTTACCATCGACGTTTTAGTACTGCTTCAAGTTTTAAATGCATAACATAAAAGAGGGATAACTCCGTGATCTCTGACTTAATGGTCCTTTCAAGTTTGAACAATATAATTAATCAAGAATTCTGGTATGTGGAGTGGTCACAAGAAACATTAGATGGACAATGAGCCGACCATTTCACATTAAGTTTTAAATACAAGACTGGGCGACCCTTTCAAGTTTGAACAATATAATTAATCAAAAATTCTAGTGTGTAGAGTGGTCACAAGAAACATCAGATGGACAGTAAGTCGACCATTTCACATTAAATAAAAATGGAATTTTTCTTTAAAAATATTAATGGATGCTGTATTGAGATATGGTCAAATTAATGCGTATAAGTAAATAGGCTTTACAGTATAAAATTATGTCATGCCGGTCTGTGTAAATGATTCCTTATGATTTAATAACCCTAAAGATAAACAACGTTTAATGTCAATACTGGACAGCAGGGTCGTTTCGGATCTGATGTATGGTAATACGCCCGTGTCCAGATCTGAATGGGTCAGCTAATAATACATGGCATAAAACTTACATATATTCCTAGTTTCGTACCGCTACCACGTACATCTATTTGAAATGAACCATCATCTGTCACAGCGCAGTTAGGGTCACAATTGTTACCCGCTCTAAAAATTTCTGGGCCATCACAGTCTGTATCTGAACGAGTTAAATCGGGAAACATGTAAATAATCTGCAATTAAATTTGTGGGGGATTAGTAAATAGAATCGTCAATTCGTTCAACTCAGTGTAAAACTGGCTCATTAACGTGGAGCAGAGTCTGAAATCGAAACAATAATGTGACAAATTTTTCAGTTTTTGGCGTATCCTTAGTTACGTTGTCACTTGATACAGGAAAATGGAAAGAACTGTTCAAAGTTAGTATATGATCCGAAAATTTAAATTCAGATAGGGTTTCTCCTTTGCCCTAATCAACACTGCCACTAACTTTTAAACATCCCTTTTCCTTTTGTAGAAAGGTACAAATAAGATATCTGAAACTAAAGTAAATTATTGATACATATTTTATTTCAAAAACTCATCGGTAACTCATGAAACTCAAATCACTGTGATCAGTCAATTTTCAAGCTACACACCACAAATTTTGCACAGTTTCTAGTTTTTACATGTACAATAACGTATATTTTTCCCGGATTTTTTTGAGAGGGTGGGCCCACTTGACATGGAATGACCCTAATATAGTTTTCGCAGACGCGGATATATGGTAGTGGAGTTTATGCATGGGGATGTAGTCATTATCATAATAATTATGATAATGACTACATCCCCATGCATAAACTCCTCAGCAACTTATATTTCAATTTTATATCACTTGTATTGAATTCTGTATTCATCATTCGGTATTTGGTATTACGTTCAAAAGAATACATGTGTACAAAAAAATGGGGAGCTAAATATGCAAGTGTCGATTCAAAACCTAAAATTTCAATGGAGTTGTTCCAAATCGTCATATGAACAACCATTGAATTCTGAAACAGAAATTCATAAGAGAAATCGGACGGGCGACGGACCCTCTGTACAACCAAATTCTTCGATATTGGGTAAATAGTTTATTATATAAAAGTATAAAAATCCCCGCTCAACAGTAGCACAAACAGATTTTAAGTGGAGAGAAGAAGTGGTTTATTCTTCATAACCTTTCGGGTGATATGACCCTTTTTCTACGAGGCCCATTAGTGCCAAACAAAAAATAAATATTAATCCGTTTGAACGAGTCAGTATCTCGTTTGAACGAATTAGTATCTCGTTTGAACGAATTAGTATCTCGTTTGAACGGATTAATATTTATATTTTGTTTGGCACTAATGGGCCTTCGTGGAAAAAGGGTCATATCACCCGCAACGTTATGAAGAATAAACAACTTCTTATCTCTACTTAAAATCTGTTTGAACGAATTAGTATCTCGTTTGAACGAATTAGTATCTCGTTTGAACGAGTTAGTATCTCGTTTGAACGAATTAATTATCTCGTTTGAACGAATTAATTATCTCGTTAGAACGAGTTACTATCTCGTTAGAACGAGTTACTATCTCGTTAGAACGAGTTACTATCTCGTTTGAACGAGTTACTATCTCGTTTGAACGAATTAGTACCTCATTTGAATGAAATAGTATCTCGCTTGAATTAGTTAGTATCTCGTTTGAACGAATTACTTATCTCGTTTGAACGAATTAATTATCTCGTTTAAACGAACTAATTATCTCGTTTGAACGAATTAATTATCTCGTTTTAACGAATTAGTATCTCTAGTCCGATAAGATTTGTTACATAATTTCCATCCATCGGCTTTTCAGGTAGAAATCGTGGAATAAGCTTTATTTTGTAGGTTTTGATGTTTAATGTTTAAAAATAAACAATGTTGACATTTTTTCTGAGTAGGTCTTCTAATATGGAAGTCATTATCTAAGGGCAGCTATTTTGCGACAATATTGCAACTTATTTTTTTATTTTCACCTTATTTATAATGTTATCGACATATCAACTGTGATTTAGCAATGTATTAATATTGGCAGTGGTCGTGACTATATTTCAGATATTTTTCCATCACTCCATGAAGATATTTCCAAAGATGGCGACCATTTTTGGCGGGAAAATCGGACGATGTGCTGATTTTGATTAAGTAGTTGTGTTTGGTGTCAATATATATGTTTTCAGGGGCATAGATTCCATTTCTGCCAGATATATGTTTTCGGGGTGCAGATTCCATTTCTGCCGTATACGACTGTGTAAAATGATCACATATTAAGAATATTTCCAATATGGCTGCCCCGCCCCCCCCCCCCCCTGGGGTGTAGGGTTTGATAAGAATATACACTTCGCATTTCCTGCGTGTCGTAAAAGGCGACTAAAAGGATCCCTGTCATGGGGCAACGTGTTTGCCGTGCGTTGCGACCCGTGTCGGTGGAGAGTGGAATCCTGGTAACTGAGCCTTTTCTCTGCAACACATTACTTTGGCCCATGGTTCACCTAGACGTGTGGTCAGAGTGACCCACTCTGATCAATCGGCTTTGGTCGTTTTTAGCTCTGTAGAATGTACCCTTTCCCAGTTTAATGCTCTGTTGTTTATTCACCCTGCATACTACCTACCTTTGTGTCCTAGTACATTCTACAGAGCGACGACTTGCGTCAATCAGGTTGGGACTTTCTGGCTTGAGTATACCAATCGTCGAACCCTGAGGCCATGCACTGGTTATCCGTGCTAGTCCTCCCCCTGGTAGATAGGGTAGTAATCTGGGGGATGAGGAGGGGTGAAAATTAAAAAAAATATTCATGGATTCCCCAATCCCCCAACCCCACTGAAAGAACAAAGCAAGAAACAGAAACGTCCTAATACAGAGTAAGATTCTAATTTATTTATTACTTCAAAAAAAAATTCAAAGGCATGGCCGAGGTTCCTCTTGATTGAGAGTCCCTCTACTGACATGTCTAAAGTTTCACCCTTCTTAATAGCCAAAGGTATAGCCGGCTTAGCCTGTGAACCTAAGGCTATTAAAAAACTAAAAAAATGGAACAATCTTGATAGAATGTACCAAGGTGCAGCATGCTGGCATGCTACTTCAATCAGCATCCTTGGCAAACATATATATCAAAGTATCTCCACACAGGTCGATAAATTCAAATAGAGGTCTTTAAGGTAGCAGTGAGGATGAAATGGTAGAATACTTTTCATCTCAAGGTGTTTCGCATGTAAAAAGAATTAGCGTACGCAGAGGAGATAAGGTGATTGCAACAAGCACCTGCATCCTCACTTTCAATCGTCCCGAAATACCGAAGACTCTGTTACAAATGCCAAAGGTTTGGACACAGCAAAACTGTCTGCAGAGGCAAAGACACATGTGCTCGCTATGGCCATGATGGCCACGAGAGTGCTACCTGCCAGGCGGATTTTTGTTGTTTAAACTGCAAGGGTAAGCACTTTGCTTACTCTCGCGAATGTCCCATTTGGCAGAAAGAGAAACGAATCCAACAGATCATGGCTGAACGGAAAATATCTTACTTTGATGCTCGTAAGCAGGTAGAACCGGCTGCACTTTTTCCCATTGCACCACAAGGGAAATCTTATTCAAGTGTAGCCAAAGTTTCTACCAATACCATTTCCGTGCAGACAAGACATAACCTGGCCTAATAAAGTAGAAATGCCTAAAATATTAATATCGTCAGATCATAATAAAAGGGTATCGAGCTCATCTCAAACGAGTCAGAGCTCGAATCAAATTATCGATTCTTTGCGTGGCGGGGGTTCATCAACCTTGCCTCGAACTGAAGATGTTGGGATTATTCCCAGCACTTCCAACCAGAATGGCAAGGGATCATCGTCTCCTGCGGCTCCGCCTAAAGCTATCATCCTTGATTTCAGTTCTACTCGATCAAGATCGCATTCAAAGGGTAATTCAAGAAAAAGAAAAATTAACAAAGTTTAAAGAGGGAGGGACAAAGGTTTCGTTGAAAGGAGATGATTTATTCGTTGAAACGAGATGACTTATTCGTTGAAACGACATGACTAATTCGTTGAAACGACATGAATTATTCGTTGAAACGAAATGACTAATTCGTTGAAACGACATGACTTATTCGTTGAAACGACATGACTTATTCGTTGAAACGACATGACTATTCGTTGAAACGACATGACTAGTTCCTTCAAACGACATGACTATTTCGTTCAAACGACATGACTAATTCGTTCAAACGACATGACTTATTCGTTCAAACGACGTGACTAATTCGTTCAAACGACATAACTAATTCGTTCAAACGACATAACTAATTCGTTCAAACGACATAACTAATTAGTTCAAACGACATAACTAATTCTTTCAAACGACATAACTAATTCGTTCAAAGGTATTAACATTTTTTTTTGTTTCGCACTAATGGGCCTTCGTATTGTTCAAATGATACATGTACAATTAATTAATCCTGTGCCACCTTTATATACACAATTGTAGTGGCGTCACAGAATTCTCAAATATATACGATGTACAAATAATGATTATTCTACTTAAAATCTGTTTGTACTACTGTTGAGAGGGATTTTTATATTTTTATTTATATCTACTCTTATATCTAGTCTCTTCGCCTGCAGCATCGTTTGGTTCAGCAGCTACACGGATCTAACGGACTGTACAGCATCTGCTATTCTTTTAAGGGGGTGCTGCCATTCCCCGTCCATTTTTCCTGTTCTTCTATATGATTAAACTATAATTATCTTGTTGTACTATCACTTTAACAAACAGATGCAAAATGATATGAAATAGGGTTTAACGTCCTACTGTTTTGCTCCGAACTGGGCTAATGAAGATGGGTATACGCCATACAGTATGCCATGAGGAAAATTTTGCCCGGACAGCGGCACTACGGCCTACTCTTATATCGAATTGTCAAGTGATCTTTTACGTGAACGACATTGTGTACACGGGACCTCGGGGGGGGGGTCCCATCCGAACGACTAAACAGCTCTTCTTGTCAGGCCCTCCGTCCTGCATCACTGGAAAGGGGGGACCACGCTGGGAAATCTGGAGTTAATAGGTCATTTAACACTGGCGCTAAACGGCGCTAAAGCCATGGCATCATCACTAAAGGCCTAGTCCCCAGATGAAAACATAAAATACTTACGCTCCCATATATAACTATTTCGAATGTCGAAAATATTCTTGTGCCACAGGTTAGACCGTCTGGGTGACAACTTGGGTCATATTTAGTTGCAAAATAACTATAAGTTCCATTATCTGGTATTCGTAAATATGTTTTTGTTGATGAGGTGTAGCATTGAACAACTACATCATGTTCTGTTTCTGGGAAAAAAAGAAATTAGTGACATGGAAACAGGTAAAACAAGGGCGGTTAATAACCAACTATTTTCATGAACAGACACAAAAAAATTAAACTAAATTAGTAGCATTACGTACAACTATTTTCTTATAAACAGGCACTAAAAAATAAACTAAATTAGTAGCATTACGTACAATTATTGATATATATGGGAACACGTCAAAGCATACAAGCGCGACTATTCCTTTTATACCAGTAAGATACGTAGCGTAAAGAAGTATAAAAAGATATCAGCAAAAGTATATATTCAAAAAATGGAAAGGATATGTAATCGAACAATAATTGCATCACATTTACCGGAATAGGGACGATCGACATGTTTAATTACAGTTTAATTTGGAATAGTTTGGGTTTCGTTATTTTTTAATTTGACCTGCATTCATGCGGGCATACTGCACGCAGCGATCTACGTCATACTTCGAGAATATGATCACTGCTCTAAATACCGTCCATTTAAAACGCTCACGTGATCATTTTGAGGCGGGGCTTATCGACTGGACTACGGCTTTGTATACGCAACAGTGTAAAAATAACCCTCGAAGCACGTGTTCTATGCAAACACATGTCAGCTTGGCAAAATGTCAACTTCTGCCACTCCGGTAAAAGTGATATATATGTGCTAGTGGGTAATAATGCAATACAGCCTTTACCATTGTAAACTGTCTTTAGCGTTTCAATCTGTTTATCTTTCAAAACAAGGTTAGATACTCCTAAATTTGTCTTCGCAAACAAAACCGCCTCTATGAAATTATCTTTCATGTGCGCCGCCATATTGAATAATTAGAGGACTATATTGTTATTCGGCTCTGATTACTTTGACATCTTTCATACACACAATGGCTAAATAAACATATTTAATTGCATTCAATATGACAATAGAAGAGAAATAAATACTTCTAAAAATTTCTAAAAAGCGTACTCAGTGTTTTCGACTAAAATCGTCGATGTAGGAATTAAAATGTCGGTTAATTAAGTTAGGGCCTGTTCACAGGCGGAGCTAGCTGTAGACGGGCAGCCTAAGTTTGGGATGTGATGCGGGTTGACTTCATATTGCTAAACCCTGCGGTCGCGACAGCCCGTAATATTTGGATTTTATCTGTTCCTAATTAATTGTTTTCTTGATTTTGATTTTGTTAATGATTATATAATCTCCTTAGCCTAAAAAGTATTGGTACAATTATATGGCCCCATCACATTCAAGTGATATTGTATGGAAGACCATTAGGGTCAAAGGAAAAATAGTTATTCTCATTATCTCTTTATTACAAGATGGCTATCTCGTTATTACAAGATGGCTATCTCGCTATTACAAGATGGCTATCTCCTTATTACAAGATGGCTATATCGTTATTACAAGATGGCTATCTCCTTATTACAAGATGGCTATCTCCTTATTACAAGATGGCTATCTCCTTATTACAAGATGGCTATCTCCTTATTACAAGATGGCTATCTCCTTATTACAAGATGGCTATCTCGTTATTAGAATTTTAATCATATTTAATACTTATCAATATTCCAGTAACAATTTTAAGTTTGTAATAACCATTATAATTTGCAAAAATGATAATTAATAATTCCGAACTATTTTTGCTTTTCAGGCCTGCTGTTATTGTAATTTAATGCACTCAATAGTTCTAATATTGCCTTTCTTCATCTTTATAACATCCAGTGGAAGTACTACTCAATATTTTAAATTATCAGCCTTCAGGGGACTATTGGTCATTTGTGCAGTCATTGTTCTAAGGGCTTTTCGTATATCAGTAAAATCACTCGCATCAACATGAACATATCAATTATTTTTTGTCATAATACCAATCAAATCTCATCTTCTTGGGATGTCATTATTAAAACCTCATCAAATCGTTGTAAATACTCCACAACAATCTATTCATTAATCATTTGTGTTTATTTCAGTGAAAGGTGTCGTTGATAACATTTCATCAAATTTCATTTTCTTTCAACGTTTTTCGTTATTAAAACCCACTAATCGTTGTGTATACTCCACAACAACTTATCCATTAATCAATTAGTCAATTTTTAGGTTAATTGGTATTATTGAATGTTCTTATTAGCGTTTAACTTTATAATCCTTAATTAAATTAGATTACCTTTAGGTACACGTAATTAAGGGAGATCTCTGGTTTGTCAGCATTAACTAAGCATTTTTGTGTACATGTATATATTGTCCTGTCATATTTTCATTTTTTATCATTTGATAATGACTAGAGAAGCCTAGTCGAAACGTCGCTCAGTAAAAACCAGTAATTGTATTCCATAGAATTGTGACCTGTATACCATCCAGTTTTAATCTCACGGATAATTAATCGGTAAGTGTTTGCTTCACACCAACCGATTGAAGGACGGATTATACGGTGTCGATTCAATGGAAATCGTATGACGGGACGGCTGATTGATGTCGTAATCCGGAACGTACAGAGGTCGAATTACCCACAGATTTTTGACTGAAGTAATAAGGAAATAAATCGGGACACGAAAATGGTGTCGGATGTAACAGAGTGCCGGAGTGATCAGAGATCGGATGTGACAGAGTGCACTGTACAATTAACTCGTTTAAAGGCAAAATAAAGTGAAAAGTGACTGATGCAAAATTGCCTATTTCTCGGCAACAGGCAAACTAATTTCGACTTACACTGTCATCGTATCGATTAATGCTACAGGTTCATGAACGTTTTTCAAGACATGTTTTAAAATATGTAAAGCCTGAATGTGTTGTAAATAATTTTTTTTACACCCCTTTTCACATTTAAATCAAAATGGCACAAATGCAAAACCGAACAAATACTAAGCAAGACATAGTTTGCGTCTTTAGTAGGAGCATTCAGCTTGATTCATTAGATTTGTAAACCTTAATACTTGCTTTTGAAAAGAACTTTAGAAACGTCAAAAGTGAAGTTTTGGGCAAAATTACGTCAGAAACTTCGAGAATATGCACCACGCAGCATATGGGCCTTTCTTTTACACAAATCAGGCAATAAATAATTAATCCAGAACCTATAAAATGAAATTAAAATGCGAAAAATCTTAAAAAAGTGATCCTGGCCAAATTGGTTATTTCTCGGTAAGGGAAGATGTTAGAAACAATTTTGTGATATCAATACGATCGTATTGATTAATACTCTTTGTCCATAGGAATCAAATATCATAATTTTAAACGAATAATGAATATCGCTTACTTCAAACAAGTATTTGTTTTAGAGGCTAAAAATACAGTTTTTGCCAAAATGACGTTACTTCTGGTGATAATGAAAATCTTAAATTACTTGTATGAAATCGTAAATGGCATTATGTATCACACAGTGAGCATTTTATGAAAATCGAATAATAATTGACACTTTTGTGGACCACAAATCTTGAAAAGTGACCGGTTGAAAATCGCCTATTTCTCCACAACTGAAGAAGTTAGAAACCATTTTGTGATATCTGTATGATCGTATGGGTTCATTCTATTAGTTGACTGGAATCAAATATCAAAATTTTAAACAAATAACAAATACGACTGATATGAATAACTTATTTCTTGCGAAGGCTATAAATACAGTTTTTGCCCAAATTACATCATTTCCGGTGACATTTAAAATGTTAAATTGGTTTGACCTAGTCAAAACTGACATTACGCATCAAATGGTGTCACTTTTATGAAAATCCAATAATAATTGACTCTTTTACAGGCAAAATAGCGTAAAAAGGGAATCATTCAAAATTGCCCATTTCTCGGTAACTGTTCATATTACAAACTAATTTTAACATACATTTTCTTCGTATGGATTATAGCTACATGTTTATAAAAGTTACGTTGAAATATTTTAAATTCTGAATAGCCTGAATCGGTTGTAAATAGGTCAATTTTACACCCTTTGTCACCTCTTAATCGAATTTGCTCGAAAATGAAATCGAAATTTTAAAATAAAACTGAGCTCACACTTTTTTGCGCCTTTAAAGGGCACACTCTTTTAGTTATATCATTTTTTAAAAAAAAAATAATAATATTTCCTTTCGAAAAGTGGTACCGAACTGTCAAAATTGTAGTTTTTGGTAAAATTACGCCACTTCCGGTACCGACAGATAACTCTATTGGTAACAACAAAAATGACAATTGAGACAACGTAGCATATGAACTTTGTTTTATACAAATCGAAAAATAAAAATATAATTAATCTAGGACTGAAAAACGGAATTAGCAAATGGCGGCCAAGGAAAATTACTGAGACAAAATAAAATCACATTTTTGCTCAAGTCAGATGACTCTTTAATTCTGTGTAATACAGGACCAAAATAATATTCGTAAATAAAAAAGTTTTTTGTAAAAATTTAAATTTTCTAAATTTGGCGCCTAATATCCGCTAATATTTGCCGAAAATCAAAAATCAAAAGTAGCGTAGCTATGTGCCCTGTCTCCAGCTATAGCCAAAATGTATCGAAAGTTAAAATCCAACGATTAAATTATTGTTAAAATTACCGCAATATTTTTAAAAACGATAGCTTCGGTGATTTCGGACATTTCGCATTGTCGCAGAACGTTCAAAATATCATTATCCTCTAAGTCACACCCACTTTTCCAGTAAAACCGAAGAAATCGTAACGATGCGACAACCAGTTGCTGAGATCTAATCAAAATGGAAATCATACAGGAAGAGTGTCATACAATAGCCCATTCATCATGCTACCAAACGATACTTTAGCTGTTTTGATTCAGTGACATCCGAAGGAGAAATCGCGATTTTTGCAAGTGTACCTATTCTTTACTGGGGGGTTTTCTCACAATATCGAATATTTTTTCGACTACTTCCGGTTTACAGATCATTGTCGGGATAGATTTAACAAGTGGTATGAGAACATAACCAGAAGTTTCAGAAACATCCATTGGACAGTTTTTAAACAAAAGGAAAATTAGAAGACCATTTTCAGATATTTAACGATTTTTCGATTTTTTTCAAAGATT